CTAAAAGTTCATGTAGCAAAAGGCCAGCCAAATTCTAAACATAGCTAAATGCTAGCTAAAGCAAACAATAGTTAAAAGTTAATAACTACAAGCTAAAAGTAGCAAACGAGTAGCTAAAGGCTAACTAAAAACAAAAAGTAGCAATATATTGCTAAAAGCTAAAAATAATAAAAAAAGCTAGCTAAAAGTTCATGTAGCAAAAGGCCAGCCAAATTCTAAACATAGCTAAATGCTAGCTAAAGAAAACAATAGTTAATGGTTAATAACTACAAGCTAAAAGTAGCAAACGAGTAGCTAAAGGCTAACTAAAAACAAAAAGTAGCAATATATTGCTAAAAGCTAAAAATAATAAAAAGCTAGCTAAAAGTTCATGTAGCAAACGGCCAGCCAAATTCTAAACATAGCTAAATGCTAGCTAAAGCAAACAATAGTTAAAAGTTAATAACTACAAGCTAAAAGTAGCAAACGAGTAGCTCAAGGCTAACTAAAAACAAAAAGTAGCAATGTATTGCTAAAAGCTAAAAATAATAAAAAGTTGGCTAAAAGTAAAATACTAGCTAAAAGTTCATGTAGCAAAAGGCCAGCCAAATGCTAAACATAGCTAAATGTTAGCTAAAGCAAACAGTTAAGAGTTCATTACTACAAGCTAAAAGTAGCAAACGAGTAGCTAAATGCTAACTAAAAACAAAAAGTAGCCATACGTTGCTAAAAGCTAAAAATAATAAAAAGTTGGCTAAAAGTAAAATACTAGCTAAAAGTTCATGTAGCAAAAGGCCAGCCAAATGCTAAACATTGCTAAATGCTAGGTAAAGCAAACAATAGTTAACAGTTAACTAACTACAAGTTAAAACTAGTAGCTAAATGCTAAGAGTTGTAAAAGCTTAAAGCATCAAAATACTAACTAAAAGCTGAAAATAGCTAAATCAAGAACAGCAATATAGTAGCTAAAAGCAGCTAAAGGCAAGCATAAGAAAAAAAGGACTGAAGTACGCTGAAGCAGCTTAGAAAAACAAACAATGTTTTTGAAGAGGAGGAAAAGGTGAGTAGAGAAGTTTAAAAATACATTTATTATAAAAAGCTGAAGTCGGAGCACTCGTCTCCCGAATGAGCTGAATGTTTGATAAACAAGCAGCTTCAATAGCACCAATGTAAAGTAGCTAAAGTGCAATAAAATGTCTTTTAAAAAAAAGAGTAAATAGCGAAAACTGAGAAAACAAATTTAAAAACTTGTTCTGGGATTTTACATAAATGATGTGAAGGTGTTGGTGCACCGTCAACAGCCATGTTCACGTTGTGATTCATATCATCGTCTGAACGTTGTGAGCTGTTTTTCTTCTGTACGTTTTTCAGCTTCTTTCTCGTCCCACAGTTTTCAGCTTTTTCAACAAATCATATATCAAAAAGTTCAGCTCGTTCAGGACAATCCTGCTGTGACTTTTGGTATTGGTGCAACTTTAGCTTTTTGAAATATTTAGCTTTTTCTGTCATTTTATTCTCATAGAAAATGAATTGAGCTCATTTTACCTCCTTCAACTCTTTAGATCCGTTTACAACTTTTTACTGCTCCTTTCACTTTTTGTTCTGCTTCAGCTTCTTTCAGCTTCCTTCTGCAAACTTTTTTCAGCTGCTTTCAGCTGTTTTTCAGCTGTTTTGTGCTCCTTTCAGATTCTTTCTGCTAACTAAAACATTTTTGATTTTCTTCTAACTTCTTTCTGCTCCTTTCAGCTTATTTCTGCAAGTTTCAGTTTTTTGTGCTATGTCACCTACAATTTAGCTGTTTTATGCTTATTTTAGCTTTTTCAGCTAATTCCACATTGCATTAATTTAAGTTTTTTCAGCGTAACTGAACAACTTTGTGCTCTCTCCACTTCCTTCTGATCGTTTAAACTTATTTCTTACTTTTCAGCTAATTTAAGCTTTTTTTTTTTGCTGATTTCCTAATCTTTGCGCTAATTTCTGATTATTTAAACCTAATTCAGCAAAAATGTGTTCTTTC